ACACACCACAAACCCACTGAACTGATTACCCAAGATTCTCAGCTTGAAGCTCGTTGATTGGATGTTTTAGCCGCAATGCACGCTGGGATGTGGTGTTAATGCGAAATAATTCATAATAATTCAATTCAATAACGTGCTTTAACCACACAGCATACTAATAATAACTTTGTATTATTATTGTAGGACACTTATGTATGTATAACATCCGAAGATGTGTAGTTTTATTCATGTTTTTACATACTTTTACAGGATATTGCTATACTATTTCTCATGTTTTGCTTCTATACATTAATATCTGATTTGTAAAACATCACAGACAGAAAGGTATATCCGTCATTTAATGGTAAGCTATTGCAATTGTGATTCCATAGATGTGTCTCCATCACCCAAATCCCCTGACTATTCTCTCAACTCAGTATTTACATTCTTATATTCAAAGAAAATCAGTAATATCTTTAAAAAAGTCCTTTTCTATCAGCTGTGCACCGGTATGGTGTAAATATAACCTATCTACCAATTGGATCAAATATACAGTCAGCCGAATTACTATTGATACTGCAAGGAGACGTATTTTGTGAAAAGAAATGTAAGATGTTGTTTATTGTTGATATATTTATGATCCACGTCACGTTTTCAGTTCTTCCAGTTTGTCCAGAAGTCTTCTCATCAGTGTAGAGGAAACTTCTGTGTAGCAATGCTGTGGGAGTCACCGACTCAGGAAGGAGACACGGTAGGAGCAGTAGCTTTGATGTCAAACACTGATGGTTTATTTGGAGTTACGGCCGGAGGATTCACATCACAAGTCCAAGAGCCAGAGGTTCTGACATCACGGTAGAGTTGCCACGTCAATTCCAAAGAACTTTACCTCAGACCCATGTATTTAGCTAGTTCTGAGAGCATCAATGTCAAAACTGAGGAAAACAAAAATAAACCCCGTGAACTTTGGAAATTACTCAATAACCAGCTTGGCTGCAGTAAAAAACTCAAAACGAGATTTTCTAACTTAAACATAAAGACAGATAACAGGCTCATCACAGACAAACTGGATGTGGCCAAGTACTTGAACATTTTTTTCACAAACATAGCCACAACTCTTGTAAATAAATTACCCTCCCACTCAGGGCTTTTTGGAGTAGATCACATCATGACCTACTACAAAAACCTAGGGGTACGCAAAGATGATTTCAGTCTAGCAAGGGTAACAATAGCAGAGGTACTCATTCAACTGAGCGCCCTCCAACCTAACAAGGCCACTGGCCACGACAATATCCCCTCCAAATTCCTCAGAGACACAGCAACCGCCATCTCACCAGTCATAGCTCACATAATTAACCTCTCCATAAAACAGGGAAAAGTACCCAAAGACTTCAAAATTGCAAGAGTAACCCCCCTGCACAAAAAGGGCAGCAAATTGGACCCAGGCAACTACCGCCCTGTTTCTATACTTACCTCCATCTCGAAAGTCATGGAAAAAATAGTATATGAACAGGTCGAAAAGTACCTCGCGGAAAAGAAACTAATCTATGAATTTCAATCTGGCTTTAGAACATCCCACTCCACTGACACATGCCTTCTTTATTTGAGCGACCACATCAAACAAGAGGTGGACGAGGGCAAGTACTGCGGCATGGTGATGCTGGACCTACAAAAGGCTTTCGACACTGTCAATCACCCCATTCTGATTGACAAGTTAAAAGCAATTGGTTTTGATAAACTATCGGTGAGCTGGATGCAATCCTACCTGGAGGGGAGAGAACAGATGGTGGAGGTAAACGGTACTCTGCCCCCCCCCCTCCCAGTGAGCTGTGGTGTTCCACAAGGAAGCATATTAGGTCCGTTACTGTTCCTAATTTATGTAAATGACATGTCATCAGCATGTGACTGCAACTTGTTCCTGTTCGCGGACGACTCAGCCCTGCTGGTCTCTGACAGGAACAGGTTGCAGGTTGAAAAAACCCTCAGCTCCGAGCTCGGCAGAATCTGCACCTGGCTCGCCGATAATAAATTATCATTACACCTGGGTAAAACAGAGTCCATTCTCTTCGGTTCGAAACATAATCTCAGCAAATCCGACGACTTCTCAGTTGCAGTGGGCGACATTATTGTCACAAGTAAGAAGGAAATTACATACCTAGGATCTATTCTTGAGGCAAACCTCTCCTGTGACAAAATGGCATCCAATGTAATAAAAACAAAAACACCCTGAAAACTCTGGCAGGAGCACTCATTCAAGGGTACTATGACTATGCTTGCACGTCATGGTACCATAGCACCTCCAAGGCGCTAAAAATAAAACTTCAAACATCGCAAAATAAACTGGTCAGACTACTGCTTGACCTTTCATCTAGAACCCACCTCACCTCTGCCCACTTTGACAACCTAGGATGGCTTAGAGTAGACGACAGAGTACAGCTACTTGCAATGGGCCTGGTCTACAAGATCCACTACACCTCTATGGTACCCATGTACATGTCAAAATTCTTCCAAAGGTCAAGGAATACCATGATCATAACACCAGAGGGAGCTCCACAAATCATGTGAAACCCAGATTTGGCACAAAAAAGGGAGAATACACGTTTCGCAATTATGCCACATCAAGGTGGAACGCTCTTCCCACAACTGTAAAGGAAAGTAAAACTATACTTACCTTCAAAACCTCTCTTAAAGAGCACCTTCGGGGAGAGCATTGCAAAACTGGCCCCGGTAATGGTACAAATCTCAACCTGTCGTTCAATGGACAGCTTCCCCCCCCCACATCTATGTATATGCTCGCATTTTAGACTCTGTTACTAACTGTATATCTGTAGACTTGGTATGTCTTAAATGTCCGGTTAGGATGTATTAGAACGAAATCTAAAATGAAAATTGTAAACAAGCAATCTGTATGTAAAAACCACCTGTATGTAAATTGTAAATAAGCCATCTGTATGTCAAATATGTCTTATATGTCTTAAATGACATGATGAATTGGAAATGGGGGACCCTGATGTAAACAAGACGAAAGTCTTTCTCTGGTCTGCATCCCCTTAACAATTGTATGTTTTGAGCAGTACTGTACTGTACCCAATATACAAGCTGTTAATAAAACTTTTCAATCAATCAATCAATCAATCATCAAACTGCTGCATAACAAGATAAAATCATAACACCTCTATCAGCTGACGCCAACAGGCAGGGACAGGGAGACAGAACACTGAGAGCACAGCAGCCAAGGTTACGAGGTGCGTGTGCTCAGTCAGGACAGTTTGAACTGATAAACTGGGTCAAAGTTATGGGCCTTGGAAAATATTTCCACAACAATCAGGGCTCTATAAATAAAGAACTACGGCAGATGTGTAATATTTAATGCAGCCGAACCGTGTATTACAATGCCGTTATGTGATGACTTCCAAAGAGAAAAGCAAGAACACTCGGAATAAAGTATATATATATATTTTTAAATGTTTTCGGATATCATATCTTTTTAACACCATATCCCAGAGTGCATTAACTAACACTTACAGCTGATTAATAACGGTATCTAACTTGAGTTTTTATTATATCAAAAACCTGTTGAAATGCTACTGTTATTTTTATTGTCCCCCAAAAGCGCGTCGGCAGCCTCCAGGAAAGCTTCTTTCACAACTTCGCCGTCTTTGAAAAACGTCATGTGTTTCGCAAGAACGTGACTGACACGATAAGATGCTATGGTAGCAGCCTTGCTCTTGTTGTTGGGCCTGGTGAAAATGGACTGCTGTGCATTTAGCTGTCCTTTCAGGTCCCTCCCCTTTTGGAGCGTAGGGCAGAATTAAGAGGGAATTCCGTCTCGTAGCATTTGTGCACTGTTTTGAAATGCCGCTCCTAAATTACCCTTCTTCGATAAAGCCACGCTCGCATTGCAGATGAGACAGATGGACTTTGAATTGGAATAAATACAAAAATAATCATCCTCCCACTCAGAGTGAAAATTATATATTTTGGGCTTTTTTGCTTCTGCCATAGAATCCAAAGGGTTCACATACTTTTTCTTGCAACTGTATGGCAAAAATGTTGAGAAGAAAAGAGATCACACATGTTATTGTCCCCTCTGCACAGGAAGTACCTGACTCCACACAGACAGTGAAACCAGAAGAGTGGGTGTTCACCAGAGCGATAAAGAGAAAGACCTGGCACTCACCCAAGTGGGAGGGTCCCTACCAAGTACTCCTGTCTACACCTACTGCAGTTCGAGTGGCGAGAGAGACCGTCCTGGATACACCTGACTCATTGTCCTGTTGACACGGACAACGTCAGCGCACTTCCCACCAGCCACGCCCCGACACATGGGTCACGCCGGCCAATCACAAAGCTTTGATGCGTTCAAGTGCATTATTCTGGCACAGGAAGATGATGTTATAGGACATTAACGATAAAACAGAATATTGTTGTTCTATTTTTAGACACATCGCGATCGACTGGAAATCGACCGGTCGATCGCGATCGACTGGTTGGGCACCCCTGGGTTAGACGTTAGGAGCTGATTTTTGGATTATCCGACCGCAACCCTACTGACTCGTACTCCCTCCACACCAGGGGCGGATCTACGGGGGGCAAGGGGGGGCAGCTGCCCCCCCACTGTAGAGCTGCCCCCCTAACTTTTGTTTCCCTAAAACTGTACTAAAACAAACCTACACTATTTCCACAAGCTTCTCAAGCAACAAACAAGCATTACATTAGTTAAAAGTGAATCATTTTAAATATTTTTAGGCCCGTTAAAAACGCAGCTACGG